ATGTGTGTCTGTGTGTGTGTAGTTGTGCATGTTTCTATACATGTATGCGTGTGTAGTTGTGCATGTTTCTATACATGTATGTGTGTGTAGTTGTGCATGTGTCTATATTCTATATGTGTGTGTGTGTGTAGTTGTGCATGTGTCTATATGTGTGTGTAGGTGTGCATGTGTCTATATGTGTGTGTGTGTGTGCAGTTATGCATGTGTCTATACGTGTGTGTGTGTGTAGTTGTGCATGTGTCTATAGTGTATGTGTGTGTAGTTGTGCATGTGTCTATATGTGTATGTGTGTGTAGTTGTGCATGTGTCTATATATGTGTGTAGTTGTGCATGTGTCTACGTGTGTGTGTGTGTGTGGACATGTGTGTAGGTGTGCGTGCGTGTGTATAGGTGTGTGTGTGTGTGGACATGTGTGTAGTTGTGCGTGCGTGTGTATAGGTGTGTGTGTGTGTGTGTATACCCCCCCCACACACACACACGGTGTCTGGCTGTCTCCTCTCACATTACCCTTTACATTAAAACCAGGCAGGGGGAAAATTTCCGCCGGCCCCAGCCCCCGCCCGCCCCCCCCGACCCCGAGGGGGGGGGGGGGGGGGGGCATGGAGCCATAGGAGGGGATAAAGAGGTGGATAAGGGGATGAAGGGGAGGTGGATGGAGAGAGGGAAAAGAGGAGGGAGGGGGGGGGTGTGGCGTTCAAGGGACCCCGAGAGGGTGAAGCTGCCCAGGGCTGTGGTCTGAACGGGGTTTAACAGGGGGGAGGATTTTGCGCGCTGAAAGCCGAGAATCCTCGGCTCTCAGCGGGGCTGAAGGGATGGAGCACAGCTTTTTAGTTCATCTTCACTCCGGCGAACGGACGGGGATAAGCGCGCGCGGGGGGTCTGGCGGCTGTGACAAATATCCCGTCATTAGTGGGGGCCGTGGCGACTCCTGCAAGTGAAACTACGTGAGATTTGATAAGAAAAGAGGCCAGAGGAAGCTGAAGTCTCCTTTCGTCGTCGTATTCAGATTGTGGTTGTGGATTTCGAATCGTTTGAATATTTACTGGGAAAAAAAGCACTGCTGGTAGCCATTAACTGCACCCTAGTCTTTGCAAAGCGTTTGGATGTCGATTTATTTATTAAACTACAGTCATAGTAATGCTTGAATTCATTAGGAGCACATATATGATGTAATTCAAAATATGAAGAGTAGGCTTTAGAATGACAACGTTGTAAAGATATGAGTCAGAATGTCCTAAATATTAAACACTGGAGCTTTAATAAACAGTAATCAGCACTCCCTCATAAGATAAATATCAACAACACATTGAACTAATGTGTGTTATGCGATAGACTAAAAAAAAAGATGATAATTCCATGGTCTGTTTACTGGCTGCTTACCTCTTATTCCCACATTTAGGCTTCCTGGTGCAGCCTGACTCTTTTGGTCCGGTTCCACTGTTCTCTCCAGGGTCATTTTTCAGCAGCAGGCAGCTGTTCGATGAGAAAAACCTCTCATAAACTCCGCCTGCGCGGCTTGCATGATGCACTACAGAAGACAAATTAGGAACTAGTTGATTTGTAGATCGCAACGCTGCCTAGCCAAAATGCCAAATGGGGCGTTTTTACCACAGCGTGAAAATATACCGAGAAATAATTGTTCTTCTGAGCTTAATTTCATTGAATAAAGCTGACATTTGTGATATGTATCATATAATAAATACAAATTCAAAAACATTAGGGCAGGTAGGGGGATGGATTGTTATTCAGTCAAAGCAGCTTAAAGACTCAAATGCGCGTTTGTTGTGTTTTAGTCTTCTGGGGTTAAAAAAATACAAGGCGTTTATGTTTTTTTTAAAAGCCTCCAGATTGGGAGCATGCCACCGGAGTAAAACATGGCAATCCCCACCATCTCAGTGCCTGTGTTTGAGTCGGTTCTCCATTTGGACGTATGGGCAAACATACTGATGTGGTGTTTTCTTCTGAGGCCGGGCGGGAGCCGGATATTTCCCTCAGGACCGGAGGTGAAGAGCAGCCACAGAGCAAAGAGAGGAGCCGCCACTCTGCTCAAACCCACCAGGAAACGCCACTGAATATTGATGTTTAGATCTACCGTAGGCCGACGGGCAGATGTTTGTCCACTTTCTAAATCATGAACATTTAATGGCCGCCAAACCCTCTATTCACCCAAGGTTTGAAAGAAAATTGAAGGAAAATTCTCATTTCCACAGCATCTTTCTATCATGGGGTCTATTTTTGTGAAATTTGACACGGGGGTGGTCGTCAAACCAAACAAACTGCATTTAAAAACATCAAAACGGCTCCTCAGAGGCTGATGTGGAAGGAAATACTCATTTCTGTGAGAGGAGCAGATATTTAAGAACGGTTAGCAAATTGAGTGGTTATTCCAGGACGCACTTTGAAAATAAGAACTTTCACATCATGACCGAGTCCATAATACTGATTCAATCTATTTCGGGGGAAGTGAAATGTTATAGCCCATTTACCTTTAGTAAGATTTGTTCAATTTAAGAGTGGCACTCAGCATTTATGTCTTACAGCTGGTTGGAAAGAACTTAACTAAATGAGCTCACATCATGTGGGGTGGTTAATTTTATAGCAATGCATCATGTTTTACAAGTGTATTCTTCATTCTCAAAAGCGTCATTTGCAAAGCAAATGTGAAAAAGACTTTTGTCATGCAAAGCGCGCTAAAATTTCCATTGAAACAAAAATGAAAAGTCAAAGCAAAAACTGGGGGAAAGTAACGGGACAGGACCGAAGAAGGAAAACAAGGTCTTCTAGTTGTAAGAGAGGTTTTATTACCAGTGCTATTTACATAGAAATTATACAGCCTTGCCCCTTTTCCACTTTTTAAATCCACACGCACGCACGAGCAAGCAGTCGCACACAAGCACCCGCACACATGCACGCACATTCGCACGTTTGTATCCAAGAATATCCGGGGGACGTTGGAGATAAGACACATTCTTTCTAGGTCTTGTACAATATCCAAAGGGGAACACAGATCCTCTCAAAAAAGCGTTTCAGTGGACAAACGGCATCACAAGAGTGAGGTGTGCGCTTTGTTGGGAGTTGAGAATTGTTGGACGCCTCCACAAAGGCAGACTTTTCAAACAGCACCCCCGTTGATGATGCGTGGCCCTGAAATGTTTGTAAAGAGGAAAGGAAGAAAAGAAAAAAAATTTCAGAATTGCTCGGTTGGACTCCCAGTGCGCTTCCCACTCTTGGCCACTAGATGGCGACAGGCGCCTCGGAGCAGGCAGTGGTAATGTCACAGATGTTGTCTGCCCCCTCTTTTGTTTTCTGCCTTTAGAGGAAGGAGACCTCAGCTGTTGAAGGACATTCTCCATTATGGGTTCAATGTTCTTTTGAAAATAATTTCCATTAAAACATGTTTTTTTTAAAGGGACAGTAACAAAAGGAAGGTCAGGTGAAGCGGTGAACAGAGCAGAACTATCAGGGCTGCCTCGATGGCTGGGAGATATACGCCTGTGTGTGTGTGTGTGTGTGTCTGTGTGTGCGTGTGTGTGTGTGTGGGAGGGCACAAACGTCGGTATAATTGTGTTCTGCTTTAGAATAATGGTATAGACATCCTTCTTTCAAGCGAGGATCAAGAACTCTCTTTGTGCACGGAGGGATCTTGGAGTGTGTGCAGAGGGAAGTCGGTGCGCGCCTGTCAAGCAGCAGCCTTTGATTTGACACATTGTCCAAATGAGACAATGTTTAAAATGAGATTAAAACGTACACAGCAACGGAATACATGAATATTAAAGCATTAGAGCCCCAAAACCTCGGCGGTGACGGGCGACAGAGCGATAACTAATATTGCTTTGAAGCCAACGTGGTGAAAAACGAGGAAAACGAGACGTGTCCCCTTTGGCGTTTTCTCGCTAACGTGTTCTTAGAGCTTTAGAAGATACCTTTGTTAACATCAAGGGCAAGGCGAGAAGCATTTTGCTGGATGAAATCAATTTTTTTTTTCTTAATTGTGTTCCTTATTTCTTTTTTTTTCCGTCTCAGGTCCAGTAATCCAGGAGGGGAGACGCTTTCCCCCGCTCTCCATCCTGCATCTATCAGTTTCTCAATAGTGAAAAGCAGTCGGTGATTTTAAAAAGTTCTCTGTAGAAATTTTAGCTATATTTTCCCCCCCTCTCGCAATGTTTTTTTTGTTGTTGTCCTTTTTGTTTAGTTTTTTTTTTTTTTATTTTTTTCTCCTGATTTATTTTTGTTGTCTTCTAGCCCATGAAGGGGTCCCTGTGTGTTTTTTTTTTTTTGTCCTTTTACCAGGCGGTGGCCTCCCCCATCTCCGGGCCCTGGTGGGACATGGGAGCGCTGTAGCTGGAGTTGCTGGCCAACGAGAAAGGGGGGCTGGGCCCTCCCCCGTACGCGTCCCCCGGGACCGGCTGGAGGGAGCTGGGCAGGCCTGGCTCAGGACTTGGGGTTTCCGGGTGGGAGATCATGTCCGTGAACCTTTGGTCGTCTGACGGGTGGTGTCCGGGCCCCTCCATGGGTCCGGGCCCCGAGCCCAGGATGTACGGGGACTCGGCCGGGGACTGGGCCTGAGAGGACGGGGGTCCGTGGGGGAAGAAGTCGTAGTTGCTCCCCGGTCCGTAATAGTCACCTTGGTACTCTGCGGGAGGGAGAGAGATGAAACAAAACTTTTTAAAAAAGGATAAAAGATTCCCTTCTGCACTGAGAAGCGCGTGCAGTTTTCCCTACCCGGCTCCACCCCCCTCTGTCTAAGTGGGGAAATTGATCATGTCCAATTTCCAACCAACCGCTCTCCAACAGCCTCATTTGAGTGTATAAACAACTCCACACCTCTCCACCTCAGTTCTCTCGCCTTTTGCACAGTGCATTCATCTCCCGCTCTCATTCGGCCCGCAGCCATGCGTGCGCGGGGATGGATTCCCCTGCTGAAACTTCCGGATCTGGATGAGAAATTCCAAAATGGGATTCCAGCCCCCTCCCTGCCAGGCCCTGTCGGCCGCATCTCCGCCCCCCCCCCCCCCCCCCCACCCCCCCTGCCTCGCTGATCTGTGCCCGTTCTCCACCCTCCGCTCTATTTCCGGCCTTTAATCCGGCTGAGGCTGCAAATAACCGCCGCCGGCGATCGCTCGGTCATCTGATTATTTTCTAATTAAACACAAAGCTGGATCTTTTTTTTTTTGTCCTTAAGGCACGTCTCTGTAGCCGGGTCCACTTTGCGCTCATTCATTCATTTTCTTTTCGAAGCCGCGTTTCAGTTTTTCTTCTGCTCCGTCAGTGCGGCTTAATCTTGCGCGCCAGTCAGATAAGATGTGGGAGATTTATTCCACCGTCCTGTTGCGACACGAGATAAGAAATTATGCCTGTCAAAACACGTTATGTCTGCTTATAAGTGAGAAAATAGACTGTAGTGATCACGCGTTTCCATACAACGCAGGTGCGCGTAGCTCTTACGGTCTGTAAACAACTCTACCCTGTTCTACCATCCCTCATTGTGAATATCGGTTATTATCTGATGAGTTTGAGTTTTTTAGGGTTTCATTCGGCGTCAAAGAGTCCGGCTGACCAGCTAAAGGCGTCTTAAACCGAGCGGCGGCGTCTCCGTGCTTCAGACTTGCGCCTAAACTCTGAAACTATGATTCAAGAACTCTCTCTCTTTTAGCGTTTCCCGTCGACGGGGGAAAGCCGACACGTGAAGAGCGGAATCCGCCCGCAAAATGGCTTGATTTGAGGGAAAATCCTCCCGAAACACACTCGGATTAGCAGGTTTGGCGGATAACCCGCCACGCTGACTGGCAGGCCTTCGCCTCTGAGAGGGCTCCTCTTTGTTCCAGCCCGCGACGCCTTCGGGTGGCGTTCGGTTTTCCGGCTCTGTCGAGGGATGCTGAGCGCCCCCATTTGTCTCCGTAATTAACAACCCTCGCTGCGAGCCGTTCGTCAGAGGGGTCACGTCTTTTGTGGCGTGAACCAAACCTAAAGGATGCTTTGCAGCCTCTGTGGTAGCTGGAATGCTACTCGTTCAAAACTATTAGCTCCTACCATGCAAAGCGGACTCCCAAAAACCCTGATCAAATGCTCTATTTTGCTAAAGAATCCTTCAAACAGGGAGCCTAGAAATATATCAGCGGAAGCCACCATAAGAGACGAGATCCAGTGTTTTCTTTAAGATCTGATTTAGTAGGACAAGCCCTACCATCCCATTTAAAATTAATAGATCATCCTGCGGGTTCCATGCCGATGGTTTCATTTTCCACCCGGTCGTAGTAATTGTGATTAAATATGAGGTGTTTTAAGGCAGCCTCTGACACCCATACATATTCCCTCTTTTTATATGACACATTTCTCCTCACTGTGCTAATAATAGACCGGGATAATGGAGTTATATTATAGGCACGCATACATATGTATTAAGAATATCTAAGATAGCGCCTATATGTTCTAACCTTCGTGGACTACTGTGATTTGGTACGAGCAGACAAAGAATCAAAAGACGTCTTTGGGAATTGTCATTGATTCCTTGTTTTCAGAAGTCCCGGGCTGTTTTCTACTGGATGCCATTGTTTTTTGGAACAGTTTGACCCAACACCCACAACTACTGAATGACAAGGGGGGGTTCCACCCATCCAAAACTTGTTTTTGCGCTTTACTTTCTATCTGTTCATATTTTTGTCATCCACGTGGTTCAGCCAGGAAAGCCGAAGAAAATCAGTCACTTAAATCCCTTTTTTTTCAATTTTACAGCATCGGTTCAACAAAACCGCTGTGATGAAACGGGGCTACGGGGTTCATTAATAACGCGCTGGACACCCACGGCACGCTTTATTAGATTTTTGTTTGAATACTCCCTCGGATGTCGGTGGATCTGAACGGGGGACTGACTAACAGCCCCGTTAAAGGCGGAGCGACGTGTAAATGTAATGAACGCCGGATCCCCGTCTTTAAACGTTGATAACGAGCTGGTGAGAGAAAGCCGCCGCGTCAGCACTCCCTTTGGCTCCTTTTAAAGATGCTTCTGTCGGGACCTCGATGGTTCCCCAGAACCAGGCAAGAAGCAGTCTTTGGTATCCACTCGGAAAAGGGCGACCGTCTATCTCAGGTCTGGTTGAACCAATCAGATCAGCAGAACGGAGACGGTGAGTTCCCGTGGAAGGCGAATCAAAACGTATAAAGTGGCGGTCCCGGTAAAACTTCCTCCCGATTCAGTCATAAAGTTTTTAAAAAAGGCCATTTGCCTGAATGAACAGAGGTTGACGGCAGTCGGGCTCCGATTCAGACACAGAACAAATCTAAAGCACCACTCTTTAGAAAAGCCACCAAAATAGAAATATGAATCAGATTTGTTTCCATTGACTAGTTCGGAGCCGATAAACTGGGCTCTGTTGTGTTTTTACAGGGTGGAAGAACATGTAATGGAGCCATTTCACCCGGCAGATGCAGTTTCCGAACTGGAAACAAACCTCCAGATCTCGTCCTCTAGACTTATTTTTGGGGCCTGGAAACATTTGGGTTTCGTGTCATTAGCCTTTTTCTTCTTGGCGCAGACCAGAAAACAGGGAATGAGATACATAGTGGCCTCCAAACTTGATCAATGCCGTTCGACTTTGACGAGGGAGGGGGGCGTTTTGCTCTTTTCATTCAGGATTCTCTTTTGGATGAATATATTTGAAATGTAAATAAAAAACACTGGAAGAAAACAAACTCTTCAAATTCAGTTAAGACACTGAATACAAACTTTAAAAGTGATAATGACTAAATGTGGCCAACAAAAATTCCCTTTTAGGGAATTTTGTGTTTGATGTCGTATCTCTTAAATGTAGAAGTTAATCGGTTGCTTTAAGCTTTTCTAAAAGTCAGAACACCTGATCCTTTGGAGCCATGAAAACCTTTGGGGCTGTGGCTAAAAGCTTGCTTTGGGCTTTGAGGCCTTTGGATCGAATCATATTTGTAACTACTGACAGATGAACCTGATCGTCCAAAAACACTTTTAAACAATCTTCATGCGTTCTGATGAACCTTCCCACGTGTTTCTATTTTATAGTGTGGTAGTTAGTTAGTTAGGTAGTTAGATAGTTTCAGAGGTTACTTGTGTTGTCGTGGCTTCAAACGTCCTCCATGAATTGGATGGAGGAAGGAGCTCCTCCATGGAGGAGATGACTGATCCTGACCTGTACGATATCTTTGGTGCTCTTCGTACTTGTTGACATCCCTAACTACCCATCCCTACTCTTTACTTTCACTTTCCCCCCTCTTGAATCCCAATGGGACGCTGATTTGTCCTGGACGGGACCAGAACAGGGTCTCAACGGGACGTTCTCTTAAAACTCCAGACATAGGCCCTTACTGTGTGGTCAGTAAAAACTATAGACCTACAGAACTCCTTAATTAGATCCGAGCTGCTCTTGTTTCCGCGGCGGCTCGAGGCCGCGACCAATGGCGGGCCTCCTCATCCCAGCGCCCCCAGATGTTGCTCCCACCATCTGTTCCTGTGGCGGCCATTGGGCCCCGAGCAGCCCGGGGGTCCCGGGGAGCTAACAGGTTATCGAGAAAAAAATCTGCCTCCCGATTGCGAGCGCTTGTACGCGTTTGGCATTTCCCGGGGGCTTTTGTGTGGCTCTCCACCGAGGGAAACAATGGGAGGTGGCGCCGCTCTCCCCGAACACGCTAATTATTTGATCTCGCGAGCGGGGCCCCGCGCCGGCTTTGGCCGACCTTGAGGATAAGCAACAAGCCCCCCGTCTCGGCGGCGTGTTTACGCACGTGGGCGCGCGAGAAAAAATGGGAGACGAGGGGGGGGAGTGTTAGCTCTGCAAACTATAATTACACTCACGCATGCGGACGCACAGCGGCAACATACACACAAACACACACACGCGTGAGGCATTCCTCGCTCAGGCGGAGGGAGCTGGGCCCGGATAAAGGCAGGAAGGCGAGCGGGCCGGCCGCCGCCGCCGCCGCCGTGGCACAAAAGGGTGTGAAAGGCAGCGGCGGCGAGAAAAGCCAGAGAGAGAGAGAGGGAGAGAGAGGAGGAGGAGAGGTTTTTTTTTTGTCCTCCGCTTTCCCCTCCCACTCCCCCCAGCCTCGCAGCCTTGACGGCTCCGGCTCATTGTATCCTCAATGCCAAGGCCCCCCCTCAGGTAGATGTGCCGGAATAGAGACCACAGCGCTCTCAGTGTCCATCAAAAGCAGGCCGCTGATATACATGACAGGTGCACCGGCTTTAACCCCCACACACACACACACACACACACACACACACACACACCACCCCGTCTTATCTTCCCGCTCTCCCGCGTTTTGTCTCCGGCTCGTTTTTTTTATGGCGGAGCCACGCACAAATGTTTGGCACAATAGGCCTCAGCTGCAGGTTGTTTTCTTGTTTTTTGGGGGTTTTTTAAATCGACGGGCTATCATTTGAAGTCGCCGTTACACCACCTGGAGATTCTATCTGAAGGCAGCATATCATTAAATCCGTCATTTGTTTTTTTCCGTGTGGAGAACAACAACCCAATCGCGCCTCGCCGCACGCGTGTAATCGTCGCCGTTTAACCTCTTGCCGTCCTCAAAAAGGGAAGAGAGGCGATAAAATGCAAAAAAAAAAGATGATTTTCCTTTAAAAACGGGTTTCATGGTAATCAAACATGAGAATAAACTTTCTGTGCCAGTTCTCCACTGTGTCGATACCCAGTGTCCACTGGGAGCTGTGTCTGAAGAGGATGCTACATAAGCTAACCCCCCCCCCCCCCAAACGCTTTGGCCCAGACAAAAATGAAGCATCAACAGTGAAATCCTGGATGGAAAAAGCCGTTTCCAAATCAGGAGAAAGACACATCCACTGCGATGAGATGTATCAGAAAGTTAAACGCCGCCTCTCAATCTGGCAAAAAAAAAATACAGACCTGCTTTGTGTTGTGCTTCCGATTGTTTTTCCTCCTTTTGTTTCCAACCCAAAATGATGCGTTCTTCTCATTTTTATATAAGAAAAAAAAGAACCTTCAAAAAAGACGAGCATAAAACTGCGGCGGATGTTCTCCCTGTAACTTATTGTTCCCGGGTTTTTAAAAAAGTTGCAAAAACAAACTTAAATAGGGAATCAAACTGCACAAATGCTGAGTGAAATGAGCATTACATCCAAACCCCGGTGGAGTTTTTTTAAACTTGTTTTAAAGGTGCGGGTTAGTGGTGACAACAGCACATCTGGAGCAGCATCAGTCGGGGTTACAGCAGAGGAAACATCTGTAGAGAGCTCATTTCCACACTCAAGAAGTCCCACATTTGTTTATGCCATTTCCTCAGAACTAATTACACGTTTGCTGTTTGAAGCTCTCAGCTTTTGGGGATTTTTTTTTGACAGTGTCGTCCTCTTTTTTTCTTCAATATTGTCTCTGAGAAGCAGCAGTCAAGTTTTGAGGAGCAGATTTTCAAACCGATTAGAAGGAGAGCGACGCGCTTTGACAGAATCCGTTAGAGCCTCGGCGAGTGACGGCTGAGGGTCAAAGGTCGTATTCTCGAGTTTTACTTTCTTATAGTGAGTATAAACTGAAAGATGCAGAGCTCAAACCCACCCTGGTGGCACAGACTTGTGCCTAAATTTAAAATTCCTCGTATAAACAGACTGAATCGAACTGCCAGAGCCATTCGGCGAGATCAGAGTTGGACCCAAAGAACTCCACAGGTTACAGTAATGACCAAAAAGGTGAGTGTACCATTCAGAATAAACCAGGCAAGGCACCAGGCCAGTACAGACCACTCACCCGGCGGGAGCCGGAGCTAAATCTGCCCCTTTGGCCACATAAGCGAGTCCTTACCTCCGTAGTAGCCGTAGGCTCCGGGTCCTAAGATGTCGGCGTCCTCCAGCCGGCCCCCCAGGGGCCTCATCCTCCGGGGGCCCCGGAAGAAGGCGTGGCGGCGGGCCCCCAGCGCGCTCAGCTGCTTCATCCGCCGCTCCTTAGACCTCCGGTTCTGGAACCAGACCTGAGACGGGGAGTGGAGAGCGGATAACCGGTCAGATTCTCATGCGGCGGATTCCGGGGCACCAGAAACCGAACGGCTGGGTATCAGAGTCTGGGCTGAAGACCTCAGCCCCGGAAGCGGGTCTGGATCTTCAGACTACCTGGCATCCAACAAATAATCCCCTCAGCATCCACTCTGAGCTCTGTACATCCCCACCGAATTTGGAATAAGGCTAAATTTACATGAACTTCTATGTAAAATGGCTAAAACATTTCAGAGTTCTGAAGCAATTTTAATTCAAACAGCAGCCTGTGATCTTGTCTCTGCTTGACCAAAAGGCAAAAAAATAATTCCCGACCGGCCCACTGGACAGAGAAAGAGCCTGATAAAACTCCTCGTTGCCTCTCTGCCCGTTCAAAACCAACGGGAGGAAGGCAGGGCCGCGCACCCGAGCTAAAGTAAACGACTTACGCTTTTAAATGGGAACGCGATTAAATAAACTTTCTTTGAAGAGGAACAAAAGGGGGATTTTTCACATTTGCGCAAAAAAAAAAAAAAAAAAAAAACCCACACACGCCATATGGAGGAATGCCTGTGCCTTGTAAGCACATAACGCGTCGTGTTTCGCCTTTGCATCGCTGCTGCATAATGATGCGTGTTCGCACCACGCGAGGCTCCACCAGAGGCAGAATCCCACTGTGCTGCAGATTAACAAAAAACACACACACACACACACACACACACGCACACGCACAAAAAACCCACCCAAAACCACTTAGGCTGTGCTCTCTGTGCTCCAGCGGCAGAGGCAACACCTGCTTATGGAGAACAATCGTCTAACTGTGGGCCACATTTTTTTATGGAAATGCTTCCCGCTTCCCTTGAGAGAGCGTTGCTTAGGGATTACGCGCGCGCGTTGCGGGAGGAGCTCGCGGGGGGCTCCCCGCGTCGAGAGCGCGCCGGTATTTAACGGTTCACACTGAACGGGGATGCGGGATGACGAAACGGAGCCTCCATTTTGGCTCCGAGCGAAACGCGAAGAGGCGGAGGGGGACTCACAGACACACACACACAGACAGACAGACAGACAGAAGGGATGACTGGGTGACTTATCGACTGGTTTGCTGACTGACTGAATGACTGAGCTGGCACGCACGCGCAATCGCGCACAAACACACGGGCAAATGGCCCAGGAGACGGCGGTTGGAAAAAAAAAACGGGGCTGAAAGTGAGTGAGAGCGCAGAGGTGGGAAAAGGGGAGGGCGGTATGCAAATCTGTGAAATCAGCGATAATTACAGTGAGTGCACAAAAAGCCACATCACAGTTGGCAGAGACGGTGCTAATCACCCTGACACAGTCTGCACCCGGGCGCACGCGCGCGCGTTTTGGGGATGGAAACGCAGGCGGAGAGGAGCGCGCGCCGCTGGTATTTTGCACATGTTTGCGTCTTGTGCTCCTTTCACCAACTTAGGGGGGTGGGAGGAGGAGGTGGGGGGTGGACACACACAAACTAACTAACTATCTCTCATTTTCATGGCCATGCAACGCGCGTAATTTCCCAAATAAATGGCTGCCTTCCGGTAAACACATTTATCATTATCTCCAATAAGGCTTCGATAAATTGGATTATTTAAAAGTCAAATAAGAAACAGCTGAAGGCAAGTCGTTTGATAAAAAAATTCAAAAAAGTCACCAAACAATTCTGCATTAAATAAACCGTCGAATGATGCAAAAATGTGGATTTTCAAAAGCACAATAAACCTTTTTTTTAAGTCAATAATACTAAAATAACTGAATTACATTATTTAATCCAAAAATAAATCTAAGTTAAAGCGTGCATGTAGGCCTAAAAGAAACATTTGACATGTTGTGCAGCCTGTAAATTCGGACCTATACCCTGCTAATGGTCCACGTCGTGTTTTGACAGTTCTCGTGCAGATAATGAGGCTTTCAATTAAGTGTCCCTGCGCGTTTCACTAAAAATTAAAAGGTAATTTCGCTGATTTATAATCCGTCATTTGTCTCTAATTTGTCTTTGTCTCGATGGATCCACCCCCCATCTGCGCACAAAAAGTCCAAAGCCGCTTTTGGAGCTTCAAAGGCCGAATGAAAGTGGAGAAAAAGGAGGGGAAAAGGCGCCTACCTGGATGACTCGCATGTTTAGTCCCGTTTCCTGGGCCAGCTGTTCTCGGATGTGCCGGGTGGGCTTCGGCGTGGCCACGAACGCAGCCTTTAACGTTTCCAGCTGCTTGGCCTTGATGGTGGTCCGGGGCCCCCGCCTTTTGGCCCCAGAGTTCTGCTCCTCGTTCTCAATATTGTTCGTTTCCTTATCTGAGGACGTGGAATTGTCCGTCTCCTTTATGTCGTCCTGTATGGGGTCCGGCAGATCCGGAGATAAACTCCTGTCTGTGCACGACGACACTGGAGACCCGGGAGGGGAAAAAACAAACGGGGAGGAAGGTCACGATCCCAAATGTCAAGGAGGGAGAAAGAGAGGGTGGTGTGTGTGTGTGTGTATATGTGTGTGTGTATGGGTTGGGTAATTAGGCCAGAAGATGCAACAATATGCGCAGAAAATATTAATACCATTTTTAAAATTTTTCTTTTTTTTTTTTTACTTTTTAATAAAAATAAGTATTTTTCCTCTAAATTTCCGGCAAAAAAATATATTTTTTATTAGATTTAAAAATATATTTTTTTCAGTTTTCTGATTTTTATACCAAAAAAAAACAAAACAAGAATAAATTATAGCAGGAGCTAAAAAATTCAGACTTCTTATTAAATACGGTGATCATCACCTGGTTACAAATAGAAGATTATAAATGCACAAGTGTGAGTATTCCATGTAAATGAGGCTATAGAGGAGGGAGCGTGCATGGCACCTTTGGCACGCGGGGTGTGGAGTGTGGCTGCTGGCTTCCTGAGCCGTTTCTGGGGATGAGCAGGAGAGGCACACACGCCAGACTGACAGCCGTCCCCTGCGGACCCGCGCACAATAACGCGGAGCTTTAGTTTTGTGGAGGTAAATATTGAAACAATTCAACCAACAAGGTTGTTTGGAAACGCTCTCCGGGGGGCCACTGAAAAACGCTACGCAAAAAAAAAACCAAACTTGGACTACTTAAACCTTCCTCCGTGTCTTGGTTTTTTGCGCACCAGAAGGCAGATTGCGAATTTATTAATCAGACACCCATCTGAATACTGATTCTACCCCACGTTTAATTAACACCGGAGCAATAGCGTGCTGTTGGAGAAAGGGGATGTTTGTTTTGGAATTTTTTTTTTCTTCGGGAAAAATACGCACAGGCCTTGTTTGTTTTTTTTGTTTGTGTGTTTGTTTGTTTTTTTTGGAGGGGGGACCGTTTGCTCACCTGAGTTGAGGTTGACTTCCTTAATGGCTCCGGAGCTCATATAATCTTCTTTGCACACGAACTTGTTTTCGTCTATCACGTAGAGCTCCTCTCCCGTGGACAGCTGCTTGTTACACACCATGCAGGTGAAGCAGTTCAGATGGAACACTTTGCTGCGGGCTTTGCGGACCAGGTCGTTTGGGGAGATCCCCTGCAGGCAGCCCGCGCACTTTGTGCCAAATCGCCTTGATGAAAAATAAAGAAGAGCGAGAACAAGAAGAAAAAAGAAAAAAAATTATCGTCAGATATGTTTTTCTATAGTTATTTTTTCCGAGGCGATTTCATGATATTTGTGGTGTTTATTAGGTATTTTAGGAATTACTCCAGCCCATCGTGTAATAAAAAACACACACATTCTCTTCGGCTTTTAGATTTAGTTCAGCCTAATGTCGATTTCTACATTCAAGCTTTTTAAAAAAACAAATCTGATTTTAAGTTCAAGTTTATCCATTTTTTGTTTTTGTTTTTTTGGTACTTTTTTAAAAATCCAGTCGCCAAAACCCAAATTAAATAATAAAGAATTGCACATGAATAAAAATATATATAAATACATGTCTAAAAAAGGAATACAGAATTAATACAGTTCCGTTTAGACAAGAATGGCTTAAACAAAACTGCGTCTGTTTTCTTTTGTCTGTCTGGAAGTATTCTGACGGTCGCTGGGAGGACTAAAATAAAAAAAAGAGACTGGTAATTTTTGTGGCGGCACTCTGACAATAACCCCACGCAAAACGTATTAGTGACAATCAACACATTGTGGAAAAGGATATCTTATAGGATTAAGCGGAGCAGGAGCATCTTAGCGTGAAAATCTTCCCTTAATCCATATTCACCCGCTTAAATACTGGGGAGACTCATCAGTTTGATACACAAATAGACCAAATAAATTGGGCAGAGACTCACCCCCCCCCCCCCCCCCCCCCCCCCCTAAACCCCCCCACCACAACCCCAGCGAAAAGGGCACAACTCTACTTACACAACAAATGGACACATTAGGGTGATTACTGTTTCGCCTGACTAATGGCTGGCCATTTAAATCCGCCGCTTGATGGGAGCGGTGGTAATATGATGGTCAGGGCCGCGCGAGGCCACCAGCAGCACCGTCCCAACAAAGGCCAGCGCGTCTTCCGTGTCATTAGACAATTTGGCGGAATATTCCGCGCGCGTCCCGAATGAAAATGATGCTAAGAGAGTACGGCGGGACAAACAAGGGGGGGGCTTCACCTACCTCTCAATTATCCGAGACTCTTTTTTTAGGGGGGGGGACCGGGGGCCGGTTAATGGCCTAATGGCTGTTTGAAAAGTGCTGACTGGAGCCGGGGAGGAATTAATAAAAAATGCAAAAAAACAAAACAAAAAAAAAAGCAGCGAAAACACGTGCGCCTGCTCTCGTCCTGAAATGTTTGGTGTCATTTTTTAATGGAGCCGTCCTATCAAAAGGTCAGGCAGAGCCCGTGGCTCTTTTTTAAAATCAAAATGTGCATCGAGAAACTAGAAATATTAATTGAAAACAATAAAAAACAAAATAATGGTCGTTCGAAGAAAAAACTCCCAGTAATATCGAGATATTAATTCTAACATTTTTCCAAGCCAGTGACAGCTCGTTTGCTTTCAACCTGTGAACTGACCCCCATGACGCTGATTTTCTGAATTTGAGTTTGTTTCTTTTTTTAGCCTTGGTATGCTCCAAAATCCTCGTTTAACCTGCAGACATACTCCTCTAAATTTTAAGCCGTTTGCTCCAGACCTGATAAAAGTCGCAAGCAAAGACTCGGAAAAAGACGCCACTTCGGTTACCTGAAAAAGTCCATTTTGCAATAGAGCTTCCCGTCCCGGGAGAAGCACTTCTCGGTCAGGTTGCAGCTGCACTCGCAGCACTGGACGCACTTGGCGTGCCAGGCTCTGTCCAGCACGTTGAGCAGGAAGCGGTCCAGGATGGGCCGCTCGCACCCGGCGCAGTGGACCATCATGCCGGCGAGAGCCGCCGACCTTCCCCCGCGGGCTGCGCTGCTCGGACTGGGGACCCCCGGCTCTACGCGGAACAACGTCTTGGCTCCGTGGAGGGTGTGTGTGTGTGTGTGTGTGTGTGCTTTCAGGCAAAAAAAAACAAAACAAAACAAACAAACAAAACAAAACAAAAAACTGGAGGGACCCCCCTCGGGCGTAAAAAGGCAGCAGGAGGGACGATCCCCGGGTACTGCTATACGGGTCCTGGTCCTGGTCTTGATCCTGGTCCTGGTCCCTGGTCCTGGTCTTGGTCTTGGTCCTGGTCCCCCTCGCGTGTCACAATCCACAACCCACAGAGGTGGGGAGACTTCAGCTGCGCCAGCTGATGGACTGCGTAACGGACGAACCAGCCATCTTTTTTTCTTCTTCTTCTTTTCTCTCAAAACACTGTTAAGAGTATACCATCGTTTAAGCGTATTTTTTTTTATTATTATTATTATTATTTCATAGAATTCCTCCCTCGCTCGTGCTTTGTTTTGGGTCCAGTCATTTCCTTCGGGGCTCACCTCGCGCTGCTATACTTTCGCATCCCTGTGCCTGGGTTATCACGAGGTTTTGCCATGCGCGCAGCGCGTCCCGAGCTCAGATTGGACGGCGCCCTTCTGTTAATTCCCGTTCCGGGGCGAGCCAATCAGAGCGCAGTTGTTATGGTTACGCGCTCGTAGCTGTATAGCCTCCGAGCAGGAACCCGGAGCCCAGAAAAAAAATAAATAAAAAAATACCTGGGCCGTGGATACGGGGCTGTTTCTAGTGACGCCGCGAGGAGGCCGTGCACGAGCGTGCACGCTTTCACTCGTGGGTCACGGACACGCCACCGACTTTATATAGGATAGAGGGGGGGGTCTCCTGTAGCTCTGACTCCCCCTCCTAACATTACGCAGGTATTTAAAAGTGATAATCCGTTAAAAAAAATATAGGTATATCATAAAAAAAATAATAATAACAACGCGACGAAACGAATCCAAATAAATGGAAGCCGAACGGGGGCCAACACGAGCCCACAATGGCCTTGCCACAAAATGCTCGTGCGTCACGGTGGCTGTGCAGGGCGAGCAGGAGGAGGAGGAGGAGGAGGAGGAGGAGGAGGAGGAGGAGGAGGAGGGGCGCGCGGGCCTTTTCTCATGCAGAAAGCTATTTACAGGGAAATGCGATGGATTAGTTGGAGCTCATCAATAGGGAGAGACTGGTCACCCGGCGCTTTAACAGAGCGGGGCCCCCAATCGAAAGGGAATTTCAATATTTACCAACAGCCCTCGTTTTGTTAGTTGCAGTTAAGCAAACACGCAACGCGCTAATTCGTGTTAGTGCGAGAGGAGGCTTTGAGCTCCCCCCCTCCGCCGTAATGGGGGGTTCATTTGAATGAATTTAGGTGTGAATTCGGACTCATTTACCTGATTTAGGCCATTCAAGACAACATTTACAGAGGGACAAATAAACAGAGTTGCTGGCTCTCGCCTGGAGAGACTTCCCCTGGATCTCACCTAAAAGCCAACCCTTCTTTTTATCATTTCAAACTAACTTTTAGGTGTTCACATAAACTCATGGTTGGTGACCGGGTGGATGCCGTTCACATTTAATTTGTTTGGATGTTTTCATGGTGGAGGAACCTAACGTCAGAAGCCCAGAAGGCCTCGCTGGTGAACAGTTGGGGGATTTTCTGAGTTTGTCTCCTCTATTTCAACCGGTTATAGATTGATCCCACACATCCCAGCGGTTTAACCTCTCCATTTCAGCTTTTTATTTTTTTATTTTATTCTTTTTTTTGTGCGGAAACAAGGCCGAATGAGCTCCCGCAATTACCATCCCTCCGCACGCATAGACCCTTAGCCTGTAAAAATGAATGATAGACACACAAAAAACAACACAAAAAAACAGGAGAGATGGGTTAGGGGCGGGTGGGGGTTGAAGGGAGGGTGGGGGGGGGGGGTGCGAGGCAAATGCATCTGCCTCAACTGAATGTAGCTGCACTCCATTGTGTGATGGCATAATTTTTTTTTTCTTTTTCTTTTTTTTTTTTTGGGGTCCTGTTTGGGGGGGCTTTTTTTTCCGCCCCCCCCCCCCTTGCACGCCACCCCTCGGAGCAGGAACCTCACCTGTGGAGAAGAATGAGAGAGCTGTCCGCGGTGCTGAAGGCAGGGAGCACCAAGGACAGCAACAGGCCCTCCTCTCCTCACCGGGAGCCTCACGTGACCGGATAAAAGCACCGAGAGGGAAAGATGGAACCCACAAAAACCTTGCACAGCCTCCCGGCTCCAGCTTTTTTTCTTTTGCATCGACATCACGTCCATCACGTCCCTTTGCTGACGCCATCGTTTCAATAGAGTAAGAAAGAAAGAAGAAAGTCGAGCTTTTTTAGGCCTGCACGCGATATTATTCAAAGTTTTTTACACCATTAAAGCTCAGATAAAAATAAAATAAATAAAAACTTTGGTGAAGGCCTGTTTTGCCGGGCTTGGAGAAAGGTTGTTGTCGCTCTGTAAATAAAGATCTGTAAATTCCTTTAGGCCGGGCAAAAGTCATGAAAGGGGATTCATAAAGGGATCTAAACCAAGACTAATTAAAAAAAAAAGATGAACCCATTCATGGCTTTTTCATTTATTTGTCGACAATTTTGTTTCCAATTGATGGGAGAAAACTGCATTAGTTTGTAAGATTTCCAGCAAAACACACATTTTTCAAGGACCATTGCCTATAGTGGCTTGAGGATCATTTCTTTTCTTTATCAAGAGTTCCTCATAAAAGGTCTGCAGTGCAGCATATGTCTCTCCCCTCTCTGTATTATCTTTTTCTATTTTTTTTTCTTCTCAATGTGCAATAAATAAAGGCAGACATCTAAACAACACAAGTAATATCTGCTGAAGGTGAAGCCTTGGTCTCACTTCAGAACAAGTTCCAACGGAGCCCTTCGGGCTAGCAGAAATAAAAGGTTAATATCCGCAATAATTCTGTGTCTGTATTTTTTTTTTTAACCAGTAAACAACTTCCGCGGTTCCAAACATGGTAATCTGCGGGCTGTGACAAAGAAGCCGTAGATCAGAAAAAGACTCAGGACACTGTGAGGGGATAAAAAAAAAAGACCCAACATCCAAATTCAACCACACACACACACACCCACACACACTTCCTTGCTCCAGTCCCCTCGACTCTGCACCGTGACAGCCCAGACACCTGAGCAGACCGGTCCTTCCCCTCTCGCCCCCCTCCATCCCTCCCTCCCTCCCTCCCTCCCTCCCCTGCAGCCTCCGTGCCGTGTCACCCCAGCCCCGGAGGCACGCACACACACACACACACGCGGACGCTCACACACGTTAGGCCACCTCCAGGGCCCCTCTTTGGCAGGGCCGGTCCCGAGGGAGAGGTTAGTATGATGGATGTCTGATTGGTAGCCCTCCCTTAGGGCCTCCCTCTCCGTCACCTCTCCGCGCTCTGAATTAAAAGGCCGTTTGTCTCCTCTGAGTCCTCAGCTGTAGAGCGCCGGCCTGCAATTTCACAGCACTCAGAAGAGAGGGAGACCATTACAGAGGAGGTTGTCAGGGGAGCCATCAGAGCCCGGACACGCCTGAGGGACTCTCTCTTTCCCCCCTATATCTTCCTGGCTCCCTTCTCTCTCTCTCTCCTTACTCGGGCGCCACAAAACACCTCTATCGCACCGCGGGCAGCCGAGCCCGCACTCGCAAAATGTATAAATATTCAGGGGCCTCGATTGCCCTCACAAATGCACAGATTTAAATGCATATCGGCGCGCCCGGATATCCCCGTTTTAAGTCCTCCGCTCCTCCACGGAGCGTAAACGTGTAAACGTACGGACGCGTTTAATTGGAGAAAAAAAAAGGTTTCGCCGAAAATTCAAAAACGGGAGTTCAAAAGCAGCAAACTGCTCAGTTAATTCCAAACTACAAAAGAGCAGATTTCCCCTGATTCAGACTCTTGGTTTGTTTGGAGCGGTTTGAGCAGAAAATCAAGCAATACTCCATCAAAAATGCCGGATATCTTCCTTTTTTCCCCCCTTTTTCATTAAGGAGGAAACGGGTAAAACCTCAAACACACAGTTCCACAAACAGCATCTGAAACCCGTAACGAGAAGAGAACCCGAAGCTGCTTTTAGCATGAAAATATCCCGAGGAAGTATTTGGCATCGACATTTTAACCGGAGGTTGAAGGTTTGGAGGCAAAGACAACAACTGAGCAAACGGATTTAGATTTGATGATGACTCCATTACTATTCAGTTACTCCTATAGACGTTTTGGGCTGTGGGTCCGACCGTGACAGGGAATCATTGGAGGGCTCTCAGGAGGATTTTCGCTGACACGATCTGAGTCGGGGGGGCAATCGGGAAGGGCCTGAGTGGCGTCCGGGCAGGAATTGACGGACACTGACGTAGAAACCGTCATTTAGGAACACGGGCGATTTCGAAGTTGGCCCGAAACGACCCGAAACGCCCATCAGAACGAGCAGTCCCGGTGCGTCTACGTCACCTTTGCAGGTCATTAATCTCGCTCCGCTCCTGTCTCTCTGCAGGTAGCTTTAGCTACATCTTTGTGATCTGTCCAACCCAACCCACCTGCCATGTGTCTCTCTGTTGTTGTTCCTGTCCTCCTGTCCCTTCGTCTCTGTCGGCCGATTCCCTCCCGGGGGCCTGTTTTTTTTCTCGCCTTACTGCCACCATGTGCATCCTCTCAGGGATCTACTGTTCTGGAAGAATTTAAACAGTTTTTTTAATACCAATTTGCACGCTTTTAGAAAAAACTTTCTGTGGAAGAAACATGCATGATGCTGGACTCCATCACAAAAGCATTTGGGCTGCAGCACGTCTGAGCTCTGCAAACAGGAATACACGCTGTAAATATTAGGTGCATGCAGCAAGTCACAGATACCCATAATTCACTTCTTCGTGGTAATGGAAAGTCATTTCAGATATCCACAGTGCTACTTTCACAGTCAGAGTAGCGGCTAAAGTGTAAGATGTTTTTTTAAACGGCTTATTTTTAGCAGTGCATTAATAGTTTGTCCAGTTTGATGAACTGAACTAAACTGGAACATATATTTCCAGGGGGAAAGATGGACATTACATCAGCAAATATAACTATTGATGGCTTCAAGTGGCTTTTTTATAAAGAAAATACTTTTTTTTCTAATCATATCTGATGCTACAGATGCACCATACAGCAATCCATAGGATGCATTTTTCATTGGTATGTGTAGTCTCTT